TCAAACAACGCTCGTAGCAAAAGGGTTATTATAGTCCAATCATTTAAGCTTAAATTGGGTAAGAATCTCGTAATTCGAGATACCCAGCTGTAAGTCTGTAAATACTTGTATATTGACACCCTGAAGTTGTCTCAAAACCTACATAGGGTATTGACACCCTACCATATGTAGGGTGTATGATGTATGATGAACTCATCGTGCAAATACATACAAATAGTCAAAAACAAGTTTGCAACAATTAATTTGGGCAATAACTACCAACAACTAATGATGATCAGGTGTTGTGATCTTACAGGAATCTATATTGCTATTCAAAAAATATAAATACATATTTTAAAATCTACTTTAATTTTTCATATAACCTGTGTTTCATTATGTTGATGACTTGAATAAACTAGTGGTGTATGGCATCGTGCCTCAAGGCAAATTGCTGCAACTTTTCATACTGTAAACAAAGTTATTAAGAAAAACTTTGCAAAACTTTGAAAAAAATAAGTTTTTGAGAAGTCAGTTGATTTTTTTGAAAAACTTAATTTTTTTATATTTTGATTTATTTTGTATTTTTGAGACAACTTTTAGGAAGTCAATATACAAGTATTTACAGACTTACAACAGCTGGGTATCTCGAATTCCGAGGTGAACTTACTACAATGACTGACTATTAATGAAATATTATGAATGTTTCAACTTCAAATTATCATATGGCTAGGATTGATATTTCAATACCTTGTAAGTGTTGCTAAGCCTTTTTTGTATTGAAAATTATCAGAATGTTTGTTCCACAAAAGAGAAATGAAACCTTTCATGAAACAAGTCTTTTGGTGGCATCGGTACAGGAAACATAATATAAGTATCAAATATGTTTAATTTGTTTCAATACGTGATGCAAAAAGTTGTAATTGTAAATAGTAAAATATTATAATCCAGCTGTCAAATGCATGCGGATAGGAAACTAAAAAATGTGCATGCACCTAGGAGTGTCAAAAGCATTTCTTACCTTACAAATGTCATCATTTTCGTAAGTGGTTGGAATATGTTTGGCATTTGATTTTATTCACTATGCACTATAAACAATTTTATTTTATCAATTACTAAATGTCTATACTGACAGCTTGCAATTTATATTGAATTTAAAAAAATCACTATAAACACGTTCACTATATGATCAAAACGGAAAGGTTAAGGTTCTGTTTCACTAGAACCCTCGCACAAGATTAACCATAGTTTGTCGTTACCGAACTAAATCGAACAATTTCGTCTATCTTCGACTTTTGCGAATTAACCTGTCATGTGCTGCCCGAAGTTACATCACTCAACACCACCAAGAGGAACCGCGCGCGATACAAATATACAGTACGTACTTATATTTAGGACATTTTCAGACTGTTATTTAGTTTACCGAATGGACAAACTGGTTCGAATTGTTGGTGAAAATTATACAAGTTTTTGTTGTTTCTACGAGAACACGTTTGTGTACTACTGTAATGCCTTCTGCACACCATCGCTGAGGGTAAAGCAATTGCTCCAGTTTCGGCTTTGGTGTCCTGCAGGCATAAGAGTTTTCTCCAAATATTTGTATATAGATATAAATATATATAAATGTATGTATAAATTTTTAAAAATTTTAGAAATTTTCAATTAGTGAATGTTTTAGTTATATTGATATTTGTATATATAGTTATAAAAGAGATGGTCATGTAATTGATTACATATGGATAAATATTAAATAAATTGTCATTTAAAAAATTTACAGTATGTGTTTTTTAATATTTTTTTATTTCCCCAGGCACAAATTAATCACAATGATTTTGGATTGAAGTTTTATATATTGAATATAGTTTTATTAATAATGCAATACTTCAGCCAGAAGACTAAATTTTTTTTAGTTATTATTGAACAGCAATCAGAACCTGGTTCTGGTTCAATATAGAAATATATGTTTATGGTGTTGAGATCTCCTAAATTGTCATTAGCTATGAATTTGTGTAAAATAACTGATAATTAAAGTTACATTTTAATTGATGGTAACCTTCATGCAGTACCAGTTTTTTATATATATTTTTGAACAGCAATCAGAACCCAATAGTCCTATAAATTGTTGTACTGATTTGACTTATTACTAGTTTGTGACAGATGGCAATTATTACATATTCTGTAATAGGACGAGTATTTTTATTGGTGCAGCAATGCCGGGCGAAGGCTATTTTCACTTGGAAACATATTACTATCTGACAACAGGCTGCTCGAAATGGGTATCGAACCCGAGACCTCTGAGTCACGTCCCATCGCTCTTAACCGCTTACCTACAGGCGACCCAGAAGACTAAAGAGAAAAACATTTTTAGATTTAATTAACATTATGTCAGCTATTCAAATCCTATGATGAAAAAAATGCAATTGTGCATTTTAATACTTAACTTTAATACTTAGTGTCAAATTGTACATGTTGAGCCAATAGATTTACTGAATATCCTTATATTTGGAAAGTTATAAAATGTATGTTAGAAATAAAAAAAAAAAAATTATATTGAAATCAATTCGAACAATTAAGTCACTTCAATAATATCAAAGCTATACAAGCACCCTATATCACAATAACTTCAATTTTTTTTATAAAATAATGCATTTTTAGTACATTACATACAAATAATGAGAAATACGAACTAGTATCAACCAAAATTTGCTCTTGGAAAAGAACACAGCATAAAAATAAATCAGGGCTTACCAATCTTTTGCAGGTAAACATTTTTGCTGGTTTGATGAATGATTATAATAAAGATAGACAAATGTCAATTAACAATGTCATTATATATATATATATATATATATATATATATATCAGAGTAGATTGCAAAAAAATAAAAACATTCTACAAATTTCTTTCGCTTCAATTTTTACACAATTTAGTTTAAAAAAATTGATCTATAAAATTTTCAGTTTTAAAATTTCCATATCATACTTCTTACAAATACTTTCGTACGATTAGGACAAATGTATTAGAAAAAATTATTGTAAAAAAATAAAGTGCAAAATTTAAATTTAGTATTTTATGAGTATGAAATAGATATCTGAAGAATACATATTAGTTTCGTTATTGTATATAATAGAGTTTTATAACAAAATTTCTTCAGAATTGAAATTGATGAGCAATTGGTTGCCAACATCTGCTTTGGAATTTATTCGAGAAACGCCGAAGCAGTCATAAACATTACATAACCGAAAGAAGATTGCAGACAAGTCAGGTACATTTATGTACACGAATTCGAAATGGACGTATCTAACTAGTTGTTTTTTAAATTAAATACAAAGAAAATGAAATAACAAAAATTAGTTTTACGTATTAATAGTACTGCTGAGATTTGATTGTTTATTTTCCATTGATATTCAAATAGTAATCACAACTATTCTTAATGTACTACGAACAGTTGGTTTTAGGTATTTTCTACTACTTTGCTTTATTTTAAGACAATCTAATGATTGTCCTTTCCTTTGTGATACAATTTTTTTTAATACTCCTAATTATATTGCACTACCAATGATTGAAATAAATAAACAGGTCAATATATACATATATATATATATATATATATATATATATATATATATATAAATTCACTTATTGTCGGTTTGCAGAAGTATACTCTTCAACATTATGTTCAGGCATAAATATTTTTTCAATATGCACTTTTATATATGAGTAATCATTAAAATTTGGTTAATCTGAATTTTTATTCCAATTCAAAAAAGTAACTAATATAAGTCAATATGTGATTATTTACAAATTTAGATTAAGTTTAAAAAAAAAGACTGTGGGCTTTAGTATGCAAGTATACAAGCTATGCCAGAAATTCTAATTAGAGTCTGATCAGAACTCTTGGCATTGCTTGCATACTAAAACCCATAGTATTGTTTCTAATTATTAGTCAGAATATTTTCCACTTTTATACAAGTGAGTATTCGTTAACTTTTTAGAATTTTTTAAATTGTATATTTGATTATAATGAACTGTTTGTTATGCATTTGTTATTAGAATGTCTTTAATACTGCTGTCTTTTCAATGGAAACCCTAATGTCCTGTAAAAGTTACTTGTACTTAGGGACTGATTCTGCCGCATAATAGAAAAATGTTATGGCAAAGCCATGTTGCGCTCCAACTTCCATACATTATGCTACTGAATCATACTGAATACTGTCAAAATATTATGTATTTGCTGTGCATTCACACGTTTTACACATAAACTGCAACGTCACTCGTATGTTATAGAGCTGAGTCAGAAAGAGCCTGTTATCTAAGATCATTTTTTTTGACATTTGTGCGGTTTCTAGGTTAGGATCTCTATCTGACAACTTGAGAAATACGCCTGACTGCACACTAACCACATGACTTTTGTCAATATTTTATATGGAAAGTTCTTCAATACATGGCCTTGCCATAACATTTTTCAGTTATGCGGCAGAATCGGTCCCTTAGAAATATATTGGCATATTATTTATTTTCAAGTGAAAACCGATGTCACTACTGCTTGACATCAGAGTGTCTGAATCTAAACACCACTTATTAAAATAAGATCATCTGGGAATAAAACGATATAGTGTTACAATTGTAAAACTGCATTTTATTTTTATCATTAGAATGAAGATCCCATCACCTTTAAAAACATAAGTATTATCCTAATAAAATTAGTAAAATTTATAAAACAACTAAAATATTAAATTCTAATAAAGTCAAATTAAGTATACAATATCCGAACAGTATATCTGTTCATTAAAAAATATTATTTGCTAAGCTCGTTCACATAAACCCTTAAAATATCTCAAATTCGATAAACATTGACATATTCCATTTGGAAAAAATAGTAATTAACATGATATTGCTTAACTCTTGCTAGATCTCAAAAGGGTAAAAGAAAATTATGTATACATTTTATAATGAAAAATAATAAATGTGTATGAACTAGTATGAACATACCATTAACCAGCAAATCTATTTTTGACACAATCAGATATAAAAACCACTTGTAAAATATTTTACTATCGAGACTACTAAAATGAACGACAATTATCCGTAAGAAATGCGCCATTATTTATCACTTCACAGGCTCAACACAAACTAACATATTATAAGCATTCAATAACCATTCTAAACTAAAGACCTCGAAAAAATATTCATGTAAACAAATCGTATATTTAGTTATTTATTGTGCAGGTACTGGAGTTGCACCGTTGCTGAGTTAACTGACATATTGTTTTGAGGAAGTCCAGGGTTTGCAAATATTCTTACGTGGTATGATGTTTGTACAAAATCAGCTGAATATTTATTATCAGAGACTGCAATATGAGTTGCCATACTGTAATGTATTTATTTCAAGAACAAAAATATAAGACGCTCAAAATGTTCAAAAATCTAACTTCTACTTGAAGAGTCAAATCAACTGATGATGTACAAGCATATTAATGCGGCACTTGAATGCCATTTTCTACCTAACTTTATAGATGTCAATTTTTATAACTAAGTTATAAGATACAATATTTATCCATATTTTTCTGTGTATGTTATATGGATACTTGGCGTTGAAACCTCGCCATTTGAATGGATTTTTATATTCATGGAGGCTTTGAGTTTTAATGGAACGCCGCCCTGATGAACTCCCTAGACATTTCACAAGTCAGACTGGCCCGGCCCTGTGAATAAAATAATCACATATTTACAATTTTAGTGAGAGTTTATATTAATGAACAATTAATAGGTTAAATTAATGAATATGTATCTATGTAACTATTAAACAAAAATGGTGTACTGTATGCATGTAAAGTTTTTGATAATGATTTGAGAAATGGAATTTGACTAATTAAACGAATATAATTGCTACAAAATCAGATTATTAATTTAACTATGATTCCAAATGTTTATGGTATTTCATAATTAGTTATTACACTAGCGATGTTATTATTCCTGTTAAAAACGTTACCACTAGCAAATTTCTCTAGTCAAGGATTCTGCACAAAAATTGGCCAGCGTGCCAAGACTAAATTCAAAAACGACGAATGCAAGCCGCATATCCAGTCTATATCACAATATTAATTCACATTTATTTTTACCTATTTAGATATAAAACTGACAAAGACAAATTTTGAAGAAATACTCGAGAAGACTATATTATTTGCAATTACTTGAGGATGTTAAGTATTACACACACACATTGATGCATGTTTAGGAAAATATACTTTATACAACTGATTTAAATTTTTATGTTCCCATTGTTTGTATTTTGATAAATATATTTCCAATTCAGCATCGATTAACACAAAGTGGACATTTAACTCAAAAATGTATTATACAAGATGCAGTGCATAAGCAAGCATTTGAAACAGCTGTCATGCTTAAAGTGAAAACAAAACGTGATGCATGATCGTGAATATGATTGTTGAATGAAAGTGACCAATGTGAGTCTTTTTTAAACTAATCTCTAGTCTGCAGCGTATTGTTAGTTGAAAATTGTAAATTTATATAACATAATCCAGTTGAAAACCTGGCGGTAAGGAAAAGGTCTAATAAGAACAGTTTGCGTCTGCGCTGATGTGTATAGTGTTGGCACACAACGCCAGTAGCGCTTGCATCACCTCTCGATTTGCCAAAAAGACTTCGAGACATGAAAGCATAACTCCAGTACTATTAATTAATTAAAAGCTCTATTATTTTTACACAAAACCAAAAATCAAAAATTACAACACGGTCAAACGATAGTCTGTTGTCGGTACCTTCTGGGTTTGACCCAGCGCGGCACTAAGCACATCGATAAGAAGAACTCTAAGCTTGCTTAAAACATTAGGTACATTGGGTCACGTGGTTCGGTCGCTGCTGTCGGGTCCGCAAACGACCTCTTCGTTCGCTTTAACAATGATTTTCTCTTGAGCGATGTTTTTGGCGCTTAGCACTCGCGGACACTTGGCCCACGTCCCGCCGATGTGGCCATTATTACTGATGCCCATCGCCCTTTCTTGCAATCCTTTAAATGCCTTCGAAGGTAATATGTCGTAATCGTCTATTGATGTGTCCAAGTTTACCATTCCCCACGTTTCGTAATATTTATTATAGTCATAATAGTAATTTCCATACATATCATGAGGTGTTCCGGATGGCGTTGAATCAGTTGTCGACGAACTCACTGTATCGTACTGATCCATATCTTCCTGCAAAATTCGCAAAGCTGCTGCGCGCAATTTTTCCATCGGCAACTTTCGAAGAGTTCGGCCTTTTTTACCGCGCAAAAGGCTCTGAATTAATTCGGTTAGTAACCGTTCATTGACGGTTGGCGATGCGGGCGATGCTAGACCGCTCGAAGATGATAAACTATCAGGATCACTACCTGAATATTGTGAAAGAAGTGGTAAAGACAATTGTTCGCGTTTGCCAAATACTGCTTCAGAATCCACAGATCGTGTCGAATCGCTACGTACTGAAAAATCACGTCGTAAACGAGGTGCAGATTCCAAAGATTTTTGTTCCTTCAGAGAATCATCTGGTTCTTCATCAGTCTGATCGCCGGTTTCACCCTGCAATAATTTGAATAATCGAGAATGTGTCGCTGCTCTTTGGTATTTATTCATTTTACGTAGTTCGGGGAATGAATCGTATTCTGTGTCTGTTTCTGAAATATGCCTACTTATATCTGATGTAACACCCGAATCCACTTCTTCCTCTGAGTCTTCTTGAGATTTTTTATTTAATGTAGATAATACTTTCTTGCTATGACTTTTCGAGAGTATGTGATTGCTGAAAGATTTTTCTAACATAGATGTTACGCTTTTCATTGACTTAAGACTGGATCTAGATGAATTTCTATTTAAACTTTCATTATTTATGCTGTCCTCAGATGTGTTATTTGTTTTCTTATTCTCTGCAACATTATTACTTTTCTGTTCATTTTTTCTAAATGCATTGTTATCTGTATCACTATCACTATCTTCACTTGAAGAACTACTACTGCTTGTTGAATCGTCAGAATCATCATCTGAATCCTGTGATGTGTTATCAACATGTGATTGTACATTATTTAATTTCGATGCTTCCTTTTCAAAAACTACATTACTAACTTTTCCGTTTGCATTTTCATTTTCGGATTCTGAATCTGATTCTGATGATGATTCACTAGTTTCATCACTATCGTCATCTGAAGAGTTTTCTTCGGTTGAAGTTATATTCCTAACATTGATGTCTCCACTTGAAATTTTTCTTGTAATCGTACATGCTACGTCAACTGTTTCTGAATTTGATTTTGATAAAGGACACTCTAAAGTAACTGATACATCGGGACTTTCACTTTCGAAACTCTCATGATTCATTTTACTTTTTCCAACTGTTATTGTTGTAACATCCTCATCATTTTCGGAGCGACTGAATTTTAATTTTAGCGGCAAGCATACAGTTACGGTTGATGAAGCAGTATCTGCTTCGTCATCATCATCATTTATATCAGTATCATCTAAAGCATTTACTATAGTCGTTGAGCAATCGCTTATAGTCGTGCAAGCGCTATCTGTACGTACCCTGTGTTGCTGAGAATCAAGATAATTAGATTCACTCTCTTCTAAAATCATGCTTAATTGATGAGGAACGATAAAAGGTTCTTCGCCCAAGGTACTTTCATCTGAAGATTCGCTATCTGTCGTTTCTGTAACTGATTGTTCCTCTTGTATGCTAATGTCTTCAGCTGTAGTTTGTTCATCTTCGTTATTAAGCAATTCATTTGTGGTTGTTTCTTCGCCATTCGAACTTACTTTATCATCACTTGCACTATTCTCTTCATTTTCTTCGTTAACGTTATCCTCATCGACTATTTCAATTTTATTTGAAATGCCTTTATCATTGGAATCCTCAGTTTCTTTATGTTCAGTTTCGGACTCATCTGAGGAACTTTCAGATTCCTTCTCGGTTGTATCTTCGTATTTTGTATTATTGTCAGATGCTTCTGATTGTTCGGATTGTACATAATAAGTTGTTTCGTCTTCGGTACAACTTTCCGGCTCTGTTTGGTAGTAATATGGCGGATACATTGGAGGATAACCGTAGTAACAATAGTAGCCGTAGGGATGCATCGGCCAGTACTGTGCTGTCGCATCGACATCAGATTCCTGATAGGAGCCGGTGTCATCGGACGTTGGCTGAGCATAGGATTCAGGGTTTGCATAGTAATAACCCCAATATGGATCTTGAGACCAACATGGATCATAATTTTCCCAGGGTTGGCCGCCGTACACAGACGGCTCGCAACCATCTGGAAGCGTGCCTTCGGCTATAACAGATCAAAACGACAACAATACCCTCTTAAAATGTTAGACAAATCAATTTTATACTGTTTTAATACTACAATATACATTTAATATATAGATATTTGTAGAGAAATTTGTATATAAAAATAAATTCATTATGTTAAGCGATAAAAGAAACACAAAGCCAAGTCGGCGATCGCGATGAGAAACTTCGACTAATTGTAAGTAAAATCGCTGGAGTCGTGCGCGCGTCTATTGTTTTATTCTGAAGTTTAGCATCGCCTCGCATAGGATCACATGTAGTTAATCATAACGCACCATGGTTAATGATCGTTAACCGTTAAAAGCAATCCCCATAACCGTTTCAATATTGGTTGCATCAAATGGCCACACTGTGATCACAGTCAATCCGAGTGATTTCAAAATATGTCAAAGATGCAAGGGTCGATTTGCCAAATAGTGTATTTCACTTTAAACTATTTAAATTGTGTTGTGCAACTTTTCACTCATCCGTATCCATAACCATGTTAGCCACAGCTAGCTTAGAAAACAAACATGACAAAAAGTCACACAACATCCGCACAATCATATACAATATCATGAATCTGAATACGGATTTTAATAAAAATAATTATATTAGATAATAAATAATGTCGATTTTATACATGAATTAAACAAATTGACCCAATTGACTATGACATGACAATGAAACGAATATTAACACGTGAAAATTATTCAACTGAATAAACGTCTTAGCATTCAAATGCAGTATAAGGTAAACAATACAAATAATGAAAAACATTCTATATGATATTAACATTCAACAATGTTTATGATAAACTTGAGAAGATGAAAGATATCATATATAATAATAATTAAGAATCAATCTTTTATTATTTATGGCCAATCCGAAAGTAAGTCGAATCACATTGGCGATCGACAAATTGTTTTGTAAAATTTTGAGAAATATTATTCATTAAAATAATTTTGATACTTAATATGTAAAGATTATACCAACCGTAGTTTTCGGGCTCAGTAATGGCTTGCAAAATTTTAAATGAGCGTCCAGGTATGTTGCATCCAGTATATTTTCTAGGTTCTAGTACCTTCTGTTCGCTCGGTGGTATGTAGGGCTTTGGCGAAGTCGGATCCACTAAAAAATTATGTCAGTTAATAGAAATAACATTTTATAAGTTTATTTGATAAACTTAGATTTGATTTCCAACAAAATAAAAATAGCTGTTTATTATTCAAACTGTCAGTATACATACGCATAAGAAGTTTTAATTTATTAAACTAACCTCCTTGTGGTTTTGGTGGCTTAACAGGACGTGTCTGCCCTTTAGGTCCTGAAAAATGCAAAGCTATACAGTACGTGTAATAAGAATGATTAATAACATTTAATGCAAATCCTCCGTCATAAAAAAGGAGTCTCATTCCGAAACATATGTTCATAACAATCACATATTTAAATTTTCCAACTCCTTACACGGAGGGTGTGATGTGACAATCAATACGGAAACATGCTCTTATTGCCATTATCAAAAGAACATAAACAATATAAACTTCAATAACAGTTTGTAAACCTTCATCCTGACAAGCATCTGCTTGGGTGCCCGTCATGCACTGCAAAACTCTGAATGCTTTCGATGGAATAGCGGCGCCTCGAAATCTGGGCTCTTCTTCAGTATGCAAGTACTGTTCCTCATCGACTATGCAGTGGAAGATTTTATTTCAATAGATTATGTTATGATACCTACTATTGTTTTTAATAATTTTTCACATTATTTCATAACGTGTACTTTATGATGTGAAACTCCTTAGAACAAGAAAAGAAAACAGAATTTTGAAAACTCATTGAGATAACATGAGAAAACATCAAGGTAGGCAATGCCGTTGGCAAATGTCAGAAATAGACATATTAAACAATAGTCAGGGTGTATAAGAAAACACTATATAAAGAGATGAACAATGTGCAGTATTCATTACTAAAACAACTTTTTCAATTGGCCATATCTGCCTTGCAGAATCTCAGACACCAGAATTTTTAAGAAGTTTCACCTATATCTCATTTTATTACATTTTTTTTAAATTAACAACTCATACTTCATTTACTCTATTCTGAAGCAGTAAATAAATTTTTATAAGCCAATTAATTTTGATAAATTAATATGAAATAATATCTTTTATCTCACCATGCGCTTTAAATTGATCCATAAGCAGTTTGTCATCTTCTGCCAATTGTAATTTGCGCATTTGCTCAGATGGAGGCTGCTCATACTCGATTGGTACAACCACGGTTTTGGGTTTAATATCATCGTAACCTTCAGTAGTCTGTTGTAGAAATCTAAAAGCGCGAGATTGTGTAGGCGTACCCGAATTATTTTTTCCCCAACCAACTGGCGTCTGATTAGTCACTCTGTAATCAATAATATAATATCGCTTAGTATGCTCATATTATTTTTACAATATAGGAAACCTATTTATAAATATTCGTACTCAGGTGTTCTTTGTTTCGGTGGAGTATTTCTATCAGATCTTTCAATTTTAATTGGAACCACTCGAACTCCTGGTTTGTTAGCTCCAGGTGTTTGTGGAGTCGTCGGTTGTGAATTATCTCTTCCTTCAACCTTTTAACAATTATTTCATATAAGATAAAATATGAAATCAATATTATCTAGCTATTGAGGTATTAAATTAATTTAGTAAATGCAAAAACTTTATTTATAAAATAAATACCTGCATCGGTACAATATGCGTGGAGCTTGGCCGCACATTAGCATCGTCATTTTCCTCACGATTGACCCATGGAGGAGCAACATCTTGTTGCGCACTTCTTGATCCTTGATGCATCCACGGAATAGGAGGAGATTGTAATTTGGGCATTTGCTGCACGGCTGGTATTACCAGAGAACCTACATTCTGATCAATTGGAGGACTCCAACGCGGAGTCTGTTCTGAAGCCCGCTGAGCACTACGAGCCGGCGGAAGTATAGGTGGAGGTCTAACCACCATCGCAGGTTTAGAAGCAACTTGAGGTTTCGGTGTAAGCTGCGTTGGAGTAGTTCCTGGACTGTTAGAAGTTTGTGGTGTAACAGGACCTGATTGCGGGCTATAAACCGGTGATTGCGAAGTACTTATCGCTGGATTTTCAGATGAATCTTGCGGTCCTGGTGACTGCTGTTTTTGAAGACGTGACGGTCTCATCAAAATTGGTGGAGGTGGTGGAGCTCTTGATGGAGCTTTTGGTCTTGGTGCAGGAGGATTGGATGGAAAAACTTGAATTGGCATTTGAGGCTGCATTGCGGCCAGTGCCGATGGCGGCAAAGGCTCGCTGCTATGGGCGGCCAAAGGCGACGGTTTTGGAGTTTCGGTCACTCCTTCGCTTTGAGCGTTTCGCACTATCCGTCGTGCCATTCGAGGAGATCGAATTTGCGACAAATCGATACCACCCGGAGTGTAGGTGAAAGGCTTCTTGTCTTTTGTCAGCATTGCATTTTGTACACATAGAGGCGGTTCATTAGATCTTTCTGGAATCTGAATTGAGCATTAAAGTAATTCGTTAAAGATAAAAAGTATGGTTCTTCCAAAAATTAAGAAATCTATGTGGTTGGAGTAAAGACATTCGGATAAACAATAATGCGTATGATGCCATGATTATCATAAGAGAATCCAAAACAATTCGTCGAAAGTACGGATTGTTGATGATTCATAATTGCGCGATTGCTCTGTTTACAAGTAGTCGGCGAGTGGTGATCGCGTTGCGTTACGATGACGTTTGGATGCATTCACAGATTCTATTATTAAAAAGAATTCACTTAACACGTCGCAACGGAGCAAAATTTAGATGTTGCAATACGCGACACGGAACTAAAATAGACGTATGAAAATATTCTTCGAAAATAAAATTATTTTCTCCAAGCCTATTTATTTTTATTTTTATTAAAGGCATCCAAATCGTGACTATAATGAAACCCGAAACTAATATACTATAGTCGTAGAAAAAATCATAATGATTTTATTAAAATAGTTATTTTATTTATTATTAAAATGAACATTTTTATTTGAATAATATTGGCAAATATGTAATAAAATTTAATGCTAGATGTGAGGGCGCTTTTACCAATATTAATGTAGTTTCAATTTTGTAATATTCTAACGATATCATATAGGGTTGTCAAATATCTCCCTTCCGCTTTTTTGCTCTTGGTTTATAATACAAAAAGGCGGAAGGGAGATATTTGACAACCTTATATGAATAAATAAATATAATTGAAGTAATTTCTTACCTCTGAAGGTAGTCTCTTTGCAGGTACACTTGTAACCATTGGTGGCGGAGGCGGCGGCCCTGCAGCACCATTACTTCCAGTTTCATTGCTAGAATAGTAATAAACAAATTAGAATAATTTAATTTTTGAATATTAATATTAAAAAATTATCAAATTAAAAATAATTTATTGTTGCGATTGAAATACACATGTTTATCACTATTAATTTACAGTATACTAGAATGCTGGGGGGGGGTGCTGCTTATAGATGCATATATAGTCAGAGTCGTTGACTGAAGTATATATTTTTTATTATTTACTATCGTTTACAAATTAGAAGAAATAAAACTACAAACTACTTACAGATAACTTCTGATGAAAACTAAAGTGCACATAAAGTTAAAATTAATAAGAATATAATAATAAACATTCATCTTGGTTTTTCGAGAAAATATAAATATATATGTTTATCTACACTATATACACATAAAGGTGTCGAAAGGCTTAATACGTTTACATAAATATTTATGGATTTTTATTTCACGTCTGTGATCTATAATATAGATCGTAAAAATCCCAGCTACTTGATATTTGTAGAAATGTGATTTTTTGCTGTTTTTCAAAAATTATATATGTATATATATATATATATATATATATATATATATATATATATATAAAACCTGGCTCTTTTTACACAATAAGCGGTGTAACTTGGGGCGGACAGGGGACAGACAGGTCCAATGCAATTTTATTTTGAAGTGATTTTACAAATAATAGCTACATTATTCAAACAATGCAAAATATAAATTCGAGGGTGCATTTTTCAAAGAGATAACACTATAAATAACCTTAATCTGGTATTTCGTCAGAAATATTCATCAGCAGAGTTGGAAAAACTATTTATTTAATTTATCTCATGTAATTTTTTTTTAATTAACTTAATTTATTTTTTTGTTTGCTATTTTTATTTTTTAAACCTATGTCTCGGTAAAGGTTCAGTTGGTCCTTTTTACCTCACCAAGATGTGAGCTTTCATAGAGGTTATATAAAATAAGCTGTTGAATCTAACTTAAAATTAACAATATATCTTATAAAACAATTAAATAACGTATACTTAAAATTATATTAGGGTTTCGTAAACTAAACAACAGTGCTCACAACCGAAAAAACTAACAACGGATGAAAATACTTTTGTTATGGATTTTCAAATATTGCCGTTTATCTTCCGATAGCGTGAACTTAAGAATCAGGGTTATGGCTGGTTATACATCTTTTACCCTCTACTTGCTGTTTACTTTTACCCCTCGACAAATATTGCTGTTAAAAAATGCCCAACTTTTCTTATTTTTAAGATATTGATGGTGCACCTTTTAAACCGCAGACCTTAAAACTCTGTTCATGCTCTGTATTGTATAATTGTGTTGTGCTTAGAATAAAGAATCCAAAACAGCAAGAAAAAAATCAAAATTCTGAGACTATGTACTATTTATCTTCTGGGCAACTCTCAAGAACATGATCTTGGTTAAAAAATAAAGAAACAAAATTTATATTATAATAATATTTTTGAAAAAATAATTTTTTTGCTTTTTTGGGTATTTTGAATCCTTTTTTGAAGGGATTACAAAGTGTAACCTCTGCACAAGAAATGTTTTCTATTTCCAGACTATAACCTGCCTAAAAAGGTACAGGGTAATTTTTGTGGCCAGCGTGAGGTTTTAGCGTGAGATTTTCAAATACTACCCAGCAGTAACCATTTGAAATTAAAACATAGAAAAATATAAAAAAAATAATCAAAATCGATTATTATAATTTTTGGGAAAGTTTTCCGCAAGAGCGGTGGCCGATGACCCATCGTTTGGCCATGGGGGAGCGCACAGCGCGCGCTGCCAATTTCTTGAAATAAACGAGCACACGATTTAGAAACAGAACAAATTCTACTAGACAACCGACGCTTTTGTTCCAATATGTCAATCTTACATTGATTATTACTGTATTAGTGTAATTTTTATTATTTTTTCACGGTCATTATGTTATTTTTCTCTTTTTTTCCTTCAGCGCGTGTTGAAAATGATCAATCATTGATTGAAATATATAAACTTATAATGTGACATTGGTGTAAACTTGATATATCGTTGTTTGAAAACATCTTAGGATTAGAATGCTTTTTTTTACAAATTATTATCCAAATATAAAAATAAATACCATATGTAAGACACCTGTGAGTATCTTACCATCAGTAATGCGGAACATCTAGGGCGTGAGTTGACTTCATGTCTGTCGTTTTCTTTTTTAATTGATACACTTATGACCAATATTATGGCGAGGCCATGTTACCCTCCAACTTTCATATATTATGCTATTGAATCATACTGAATACTGTCAAAATGTCATGTATTTGTTTTACATATAACTTCATAACGTCACTTGTATGTTATGAAGCTGGGTCAGAAAGACCCTGTTATCTAAAATAGTTTTTTGACATTTGTGCGATTTCTAGGTTGAGTTTTCTCTCTGACAACCTGAGAAAAATGCCTGACTACACGGCAACCACATGGTTTTTGTCAATATTTAGTATGGAGAGTTCTTTATAACATAGCCTTGTCATAACATTGGTCTGTTCTGTGGCAGAATCGGTCCATTAATATTGTGTTTATATAGTATTACAACAAATTTATGTATACACATATGTATATGTAATATGTATATGTATATATATACTTGTTTATAATATACTAAAATACCAAGTTTATTTTTAGACATTACCATGTAGTATACTATATGCTATTTTATACCCAAGTAATGAGGCTAGTATTCTTTTACTTGAACCACGTAGAATGTGATCTTATAAAGACTTTTTTTATAAATATTCGATTATTTTGGATTGTATTTATAATTACCAAAAATGCAATAACAGAGCACCCCAACCCAGTTTCTAAGGTTTATTTATAAAATTTCGTACGTTTTTCAAACGAGTTGTTATTTATTTATTGATATATTTATTCTCAAAGTTTTATTATTAAAATGAAGATTTTTTCAAAATTGCAACAATGCTGATTGAAATGCGAAAAGTCATCCACAAAAATTTTATCATATATTCAAACTTAGGCAAATAATTAATACATTTTGAAAATTGATATGTTTTTTTTATTAAAAAGTAGAATTCGTACTTTGCTGTACTTTTTAATTGGTCCCCTCAAATATCTTATTCTAGTAAATAATTATTTAAATATATCATCACTTTAGTAAAATTGTCATGAAAAATATATCAAACAGACATTCTAAGTATTACCAAAAATTTGCTGATGTTTTATAATGGAATAGAACCAGATATTTAGGAAAAAAAAGCAAAAAATGGTTTGCATTCTAAAAAAGCCCTAGGTAAAAAGTATCATAGAATAGCTCATATATCTCTAAAGTACTGATTGCTTGGTTCAACAACAAACAAAAAAAAATACTAATGTAAACTATTTCAATACTTTTGAGTACACCATGCTAAAACTTGACACAACTTCTAGAAAACCAGTTTTTAAGGTCATAGTATAAATTTTCAAATTCTATGTATTTTGGCTAACAAGAGACTTTCCAAAACACGCCTTTTGGTGGTGGAGATTGCGATAATATGCCCATGAATGAAAAAAATTTTGTCTACATTTTTAACTGCAAACAAAAATTTATCAGTCGAAATTATTATTTGTACAACCCATCTAGTCGTTTCTATTCTATGTGAACTGATTCTTACAA